CAACAACGCAGGCATCACCACACCACAATTACAACCCAACAAAAAAACCCCAAGCCCACCACCCCTGAACCTTCACCCCCGTCGCCACTACTGCAACACCACCGGACATACCACCAACCACCACCGCCAAAACAATACCACACAGCACCCACAACATTCCGCACCACACACAACACACCACTGCACCAAACCATCGACAGAGCACCGTCCACCACCACCTCACACAGCACCACAACCACCACTACACAGCATCATCATACCCAACCACCAAATTAAAAAAAAAAAAAGAAAAAAAGAGGACAATTGGATCGGACCGTGCGTAGCAGCGATGAACAGCCGCAAAAGGACAATTGGACTGCCGTTGCACACAGCAGTCAGTCAGCGCAGCGTGGCGACGCTGCTGTTCACAACAGCTTCGCCACGCTGCCTTTCACAGAGAGAGAGAGAACAGACGGTATATCAGCGACAGTTTGGCGACGACGCTCACGTCGTCGGCTGCTAAAGAGTAGCACAGTAGTGGCGAGACGCTGCTGTAATCTCCGACGAGGGGGCTGCTCGAATCTTCGGCGGTGGTAAGGGATTGGGTAGAGGGAGACGAGAATATGGAGAAGGAGAGTGGTGAGGATTGAAAAATGATTTAGGGTTTGTTTGGGATTAGGGATTATTAATATATGACCTGATTTTTGAATAAAAAAATTTTAGATTTGATTTTTAAAAAAACAATCTTTAAACAACTGAATTTTTATAATTTCCCATAATTTAATTTAGTTGGGTATTTGCTTTTCAATTGATCAGACCCAAATTAATTAGGGATACTTAAAAAAATACCCTTAAAATTAGAGATATTTTGAAAAATCATATGAAAATTTTTTAGGAAATAAAAAATATTGTGTAAAAAGTGACAAAATGTCACTTTTTTACTTTTTTTTTTAAAAAAAGTGACAAAACTCAAAAAAGGTGACACACACTTAAAAAGTGATACAAATTAAAAAAAGTGACAAACTCAAAAAAAATGAAAAATATAAAAAAAGTGACACGTCATTTTTATAAAATTGACGAGCAATGTTTTTAAAAAGTGATACAATGTTACTTTTATTTAAAAAAATGATATTTGTCACTCAAAAATTGACAAAAAATATCAAAAAGTGATAGAAAAAGTGAAACATTTTAAAAAGTGATAGAATTAAAAAAAATGAAAAATATTCAAAAAAGTGACAAATACTAAAAAATGTGGCAAAATAATAATCAAAACCTTAGAATTAGTTCAATAAAGTGACAAAACTCATAAAAGTGACAATAAAAAAAGTAACAAAACACAAATCAACAATTTGGAATTAATGCAATAAAGTGACAGAAATTTAAAAAATGATAAAAACTCAAAAAAGTGACAAAAATCAAAACGAACTCAATAAAGATACCAGAAATGATGTTTTTGGAGCAAATCTTCATTTATCACTATGAATTCATCGATTACTTCATACTACCTCTGTAATCTCAAACCAGAAATGCAGAGTAATTTTATTAATTCAATAATTTCAGTATGAAGAAATATATGAGTAAAGGATGGGTAATCCCTAACTCAATAACTATCCCTGAACTACAGTTTTGAGGGGAGAAAGTAGTTTCAGAGGCAGCACTTTGAGTTGCATACATCCCATCAATAAGGATAGCTGGCCTTTTAGATGAAACGGTAATAGAGTTTGCCTGCTCGGATTCTTTGTAGAGCCAATGACCTTCGCTTCTTCTGAAATTGAAAAAGGATAGGTCTCCAAGGCACTGATTTATGGTTGCAATGCCACTCTCAACATCTAATAGAGATAGGCAATACTCTCCTATCATCCAAAGAGCACAGGAACAAACTCTAGCTGCTCGGATATGATAAAAAGTATCCAGAAGCATGGTGACAAAGAGCTAAGGTAGAGTTTCACCATTTAGCAAAAGTATAATTACGTTTTTCATGGCATCAATTTTAGTAGGAACATCGTTCCCTTCAAGTGCCTTCTTGATTTCATTGGCAAGTGTCAGTGTGCCCTTGTCAAAGTGTACCAGTAAAGAGCATGTTTCTCCATTTCGCATTCGCTATCTAGAAACGTTAAAATTTTCGCCACATTATCAACACATTACAGCAAAATTTCCAAAAATAAAATATTGCACGGGAGAAGATTGATCGAAACATAATGATGCTCCACCTAGTTACTTCCTCGCCTAATAATAATTTCCCATCATAGGTTTATTTGATTAGACATGTAATACAAGTTATACAACCGCTAATCTATAGAAATTGAAGAAATAAGATGTTGAGACCTTGAAAAATTGAAACTTATTACTCAAATAGTAGATCCGTGCCAATAAACATAATTCACAACCCACCCAAAACAACACGAAAGAGTGGCGAATGATTACATTATCCATTTCAAGAAACACCAAATGAAAGTGGGTTATCTAAATATTTGTCGAAAGTCTGTTGGGTTTGATGCTTACATTACAGACATGGAATCCAGAATAAAACTTATGACATCGAGATGAAAGGAAATTAAAAGAGAAAACAGTAAATTCACCAAAAAGAATTCGTCGAGGTGATGGTTAAATTAGATTTGCTTGCCCAATTTTCCTCAACCACCGTATGTTGTATGTGCTCAGTATGATTAGTGCTAGTGTTTAGGCCTCTGGGAGATCTGGATCTTCATGGTTTCCATATATATTCTCGTTTTGAAGTGATGATGAGTGGGTTTCAATAGGGGGTTGGGGCTTTTAGGACGTATTAATTGAGTGGTTAGATGATATATTATTAATTAAACATATTATTCGATTTCATTAATTTTAGGCTGGGCCTAATTTCCTCAATTAATTATATATATGGTCCAAATTTGTTAATTTCACCATAGTTCCATTCCCATTTTCCATAAATTTACACGGTTCCACCACCTCAACTGACACCCGCCTCTCGGTGACGCTTTCACTAGTGACCGGTCTAGTCGTGCCGTGCCGTGCCGTGCCGGACGAATCGAGTCTCAAAAGCCGAAAGGTCGAAAACAGACTATTAGTGCTGATGTCTGCTACGGTGCTATCGTGACTGTGAGCCCGTGAGTTTTCAGTCTCTCTTTCTTCATTTTTTTTTTTTTGGTTTTGGTGTTTTTTTACTTATGAGTTATGATCATCATTACTTAAAAAATCATGATTTATGTTCTATGAGTTGGCATTGAAATGAGAAATGTGATTTGTGAATTTGTGATTTGGGATAAATAATTTATGTTACGCTATCATTGAATTATGAATTTTAATTTATCATTTATGAGTTTTGATTTGTGATATAAGAATTCAATTCAACAACGCGTGCTCTATTTTTTAATCAATTGTAATTGAAAAATAATTTTGGGCATTTTGCACTTGTAGATTATTGGTATTATCCGCTATGAATCTAATCAAGAATGACTTGTGTAACAAAATGAGAAATGACTGGTTGAATGACAATTTGATGGTTTACATAGTGAAAGAGATTTTTGGAAAAATTGAGAATGAGACAATGTTACAATGTTTTCAAAATATGAGGTCCCATATAATGCAGTTGTCTAAGTTTACATTTATTGAGTAAGATTGTATCGCATTGGTGATTTGTGATTTATATATATTGATGGATGATTTACAAATTTAGTATTGTAATTCGGTTGATAAATTATTATATTATTCTTCTTGTAGTCATCCATCTCTCCCTATATCTCATATTTTGCAAATGATCTCACCAGTGCAGCCATTGATGGTTGACGACCGTTGACCGCTCTAGTTGAATTCATTTCGAATCCACTGAATGTATACACCAATATTAATTCACTAGATGTGGTTGGTAATGATTTAATTGTTTTGAATTTTTTCAGAGATGTCAATGTATCACTAAGAGCAATGAAAAATGATTAAGGTAGTAGATCTCAAACTTACTGAAAATAAGAGTTTAATCTCTGCTTGGTGAATCTTAAATTCAAAATTTTTAGTAAATTTTTATAAAATTTGATGAAATATGTGGTTGAAAAATAGACAAAAATTGTGAATATCATAAAATATGCGATTAAAATTAATTGTTGACTTTGAATTTTTATCTATCTTCTAAGCTACACCAAATCATAGACTTATGCGTTAATTCAAACCTAGTTAAATAGAGAATCTCTTTTTACTTTCGACTAGATAGATAGATGATTAAATAGATGAAATATATTTAAAGTTTGTTTGAGCACTATTTTTATTAAGAGTGAATTTTTAATTATGATATTTTGAAAAATGTGTGGTTAAGATTTTTTTGGAAATTTATTGAAAGGGTAAAAGAAAATGAGTTTTAAAAAAATGAATTTTTAATGAACAACGAGCATAACGTAATGATGTTGGGCAGAAAGAAAAGGATTAATAAAAATGAACGAGAGAGAAATTCTTCATCCACGTGTCGTCCGATCGTGCTTTATTTCATTTCGATAGAGCTAACGTTAACAACCACAAAAAACTGTCAAGCGTTTTAAAGCTCCAAAAATAACAAAAGATAAAAACAAATTCACAACACACACATTCCGTAAAAAAACATGGCTTCGACTGTACTAACTCCACACCTCTTTTCCCTTCATAGAACCCATCAGCTCCACCACCACCGTCGCCGCCTCCACCACCACTCCCCAAACAACACTGATCCATCCAGAATAAGTATTATTTACTCTTCTTCAAGCTTGCAAGAAATCAAGAAACCATCAGTATCACCTCTGCCGCCACCAGATGATTCAGAGGGAAGAGACTTATTGAGCTGGAAGAGTATAAATATGCCACCAATACGGGCTGCGAAGAGAGTGGTTCTGGTGAGGCACGGGCAGAGCACGTGGAATGCGGAGGGTCGGATCCAAGGGAGCTCGGATTTCTCGGTGCTCACTCAGAAGGGCGAGGCTCAGGCTGAGACATCGCGACAGATGCTTCTTGATGATTCCTTTGATGTCTGCTTCTCAAGGTTTGTTTGTTTTGAGTACCCATTCTTGATTTTTTATGATTTCGCCATTAATTATCCTTCTTTTCAGAGAAATAGTAATAGTTTAATTGAGGGCTGAAATTTTGGTATTGTGAGTAATTTGTATAGTTATTAAGGTTGACTATGTGCCTCATCCAGTCATCCATAGTTTCAAAAGTAGGGTTTTTTCTAGAGGGGATTGTTGACAATCATGCTGCGCGATACCTATGTCGATGTTTGTTTTTAGATTGGGATAATCGTGTTGATACATTGTTGACATAATTTTGAGTGTTCACATATGAGGAGAATGGTGGCCACCGTGGTATCTATAGATAAGGAGCCTAAATCATGTAGGAACAGGCCCTAGACATGGATAGGTGATAAGCTCAAGGAGCTCCAAAAGATAGGAATCTCTGCTCCTTTGACGCAGACACTAGATTGACTTGACAAGGAGACGACTTTAATGTCTTATCATTGACCTCGTACCACAGGTGACGCTAATGTGCATTAAATGCGATTTAAAGGAATAATGAGTGCTGCCCGTCAATGGAGTGAGGTTGCAGGTCTTTGATAGGTAGGAGCCGAACTCGGTGTCTTTTTTGCTATCTTACTGTTGATCACGTCGCCAGTGTGGTCGAGCAGATTTTTGAAAGGTAGTTGACCTTGAGACCTTTTTGACTAGTTTTCGCTTGACATTTCCCACACCATGTTTGCCCTTAGATGTTGCTGTCAAGCTAACATGTGGCAGAACTCGAGGAGGCAATAACATTATCTTTATATTTGCCAATGATTATATATTACAGAAATCATCTGCATATAGTGTATGCATATGAATGTGTAATTGCGTATGTATACGTATACCATCTAGGCGTTCTTCACTTCTGTGAGTCTGCTTTTATTGAGAAGCTAATAAATTACATCAATACATGCATAAAATACATAACACTACATGCTGGCAACATAACAAAGTATATGAAGTATATAGAGCAAGAATGATGGAAGAAAATGCTGAGAATAGATAGTAGAAGAGGTAATATAGCAAAAATAAGCTCTAGCCCTCATTTTTTATATCTTTAGTAGTTGTATTACTTATTTGTTTTCAACGTTCGGAAAATTATGACAATCACTCAGTTACCTTTTGCTGTTGTACCAGAGCAAAGCACTAGGCTTAGTCTCAGGGACACCTTGGCCTTTAACAACTATGGATGTTGTCAGCATTGAAACACAGAAAAACGTCGGAGTAGTGTTCTTGTGCAGCTGTGCTTGGACATTGTAAATTAGTTTGCCAGGAGGATAGTTTCTTTCTAACTCTGAGTTTATTTCAACATTGAAATTGAATTGCAAAAGTTAATTGAAACCATTCCTGTTAAGAGATAGAACTTTGGATAATCAATTATAATTATTTTATCATACTTAGAGCAAGTTTGGGAGTGCTTTTCAAGCTGATCAATCATCATTTTCATCCACATGTTCCATAAAACCCATAGCACTTATCTACTTTTTATCCACATATTCATATGACCCACTACTTATAATCAACAAAAAGTTATACGAAACAGACACTTGGTTTCAAAAAAAATTCAACTTGTTAAAGCATTACAAAATTACTTGAATTTGGTACTGGTGCAGCTAATTTGGTTTGGTTTAGAAACTAGAAATAAATGTCTCTGACTTTTATGTGGTCAGGACTGCAGTTTCAAGTAAAGACTAGATCGTGGAAGTGAGTGTGAAAGTAAGTTTGTTAATCAGTAGGAGTTTCAACACTGTGAAATTCAAACGTAGAAGAACATCACATACAACCCTCGTGCTTTATAGAAAAGGGAACCAATTCAGCTATACAAGTATTATTGGTCATTTGAATTGTGTGATAGCTTAAATATTTAATATATGATAACACAGACCATTGAATTCTTTTAGCTCCTTTCTCCCCATTAACTCGTTGTCCTTGTTGATTTAAATGTTTCAGTCCCCTGATTAGATCGAAGAGAACGGCGGAGATCATTTGGGGTTCTCGTGGGGAGAAGATCATAACAGATTCTGACTTGAGGGAAATTGACCTCTACTCATTTCAAGTTAGTGTGCTTCAAAGTACTGAAAAATTGCATTACTGGTTCCTAATCTTTAAAAGGAGCAAGTTGATCCTCAACCTTTCTTCATGTCGGCCCCTTATAACGAAAATCTTTCGGATACCAAAAAATTGTCACACCTCTCACATGTCCAACTTTATGAACCTAGGTTTTATTTCCAACTTGGGCTGGTGCCTAAAATTTGAAGCCAAGCATTTTTTCACAAGCCAATGCAAATTTGGATGTTTCTGTCATCAGATTTTGCAACTACAAAGAAATGTTGATGACCAATAATGCAATTTTCTCAATTCTTATTCAACGTTGTTTTCACAGTTGTTAATATGATTGCTTCACCACAGGGCCTCCTAAAGAATGAGGGAAAAGCCAAGTATGGCGCGGCTTATCGTCAATGGCAAATTGATGCTGCAAACTTCAATATTGATGGCCATTATCCTGTGAGGGAATTATGGGTACGTGCTAGAAACTGCTGGACAAAAATTCTTACCCATGAAAGCAAGTCAATTCTGGTAGTTGCTCACAATGCTGTTAATCAGGCTCTTGTCGCAACCGCAATTGGTACTATTTTGCTTCCTTTCTTATAGTTTAATGTTAATATTTATCATTGTTCACTATGCGAGCAGGTTCATATTTTTGTTGTTTCCAATACTCAGGATTAGGCGCCGAGTACTTCAGGGTTCTACTTCAGAGCAATTGTGGTGTAAGTGTGCTGGACTTCACTCCAAAACCTGAAGGCGGGTCTCCTGATATATGCCTTAATCGTTTAAATCAGGTAACCCTGCTCTTGAGAACAGGTTCTGTATGATCAATAGGATTTGATTCGTTCTTGATCGCTTAAACGATGGGGATTATTTTGGACAAATGAAGCATCATCTAGGAATTTTAACCGAAAGAAAGGATATATTTGTTGGACCATATTTGTGGTTTTATGTACCCGAGCAAATCTAAAGTCATTTATACATGCCCTAATCCCAATTACGAGAGCAAAAACAAGCAAAATGAAATTTGAAACACACAAAGTGCACCAGAAGCTTTATGGCTGTTCAGCCTCAACGTGTGATTTATACCCACTTGCTGCTACTGATTTAAGGAGTTTACAAGAGATCTCACTCCTCTGTTATCACAAAAATAGCCTCCCCCTAAACAAAGAATGTATTCGGCTCCATGTTGTCTAACATATATTTCACAATTGTAGTGTCTATTGGCTTTCGTATAAATTTGATATGCTATGTTTGGGGTCAACCTCTTACAGCAAGACTTAAAATCTGAAAGGTCTCTTACAATACATATGGGATGTTTTTAGGTCCGATATGCAGGGCTTCTTCTTTTGTTTTTGCTTTTCATAGAAGAGTTTCGTGAGAAAGCTATTTAAATTGGTGTTTGGAAACTAATTTTCAAAAGAACTTCCTCTTCCTTAAGAGCTTTTAGAAGAAGCCCACATTGGTCAGTTTTCTCTAAAAACTCTTCTAGCTAGAAGAAACACGAGAACCATGTGAATCACTTCAATTGAATGGATGGCCAATTAAGAAATGCTTCTAAATGAAAAGTAGAAAAGAAGTGGTCAAAGATCTTCACTTTTAAGAATGCAGAAGCTTTTTAATATGTCGATTTCCCTTTTTAACCATGCTTTAATTTAGTGCAATTGAGAGGCTACATTGATGTAGTCCTGTGTGCATTTACTTATAGACTCCTTTTTTTCTGTTTCAAGGATAACAACTAGAAAACACTCCTAAGTGTGTAAATGATCACATAATACATATTATCATGACATAGTCATTGCACAAACTTGTTAACCAGATGGCTGGCTCCATCAATGTGTAGTGGCAGTAATTTTTCTTGGTTTATTATGTAGGATAGAGTATAGGTTGATGGCATAACTATGTGGACTGGAAATTTCACCTCTTTCTATTTGCTTCTTGATTTCATTGCTATAAAAACTATTTTGGTCCATCATGAGCTTTATCTAGACTATAAATTTCTGCTTTTTGTAGGTTGCTTTGAAGTTCATGCTATGATTTATATGTAATGATGCAGACCCCCAGTTCACCTATAGCTGCTGGCAGTTCTGCGGGCAGGAAAACCAGTATGCGAATTATACTTGTTTGTCACGGAGTCTCCGAGAGTAATCAAGAGGTATGAAAACAGCTTGTCTGTCAAGAAACTGAAGTTATACGGGAGTCTTTGTTAGGGATAAAACCTGAATTCTAATTACTAGAGGTATATCAAGCAATACAAAATAAAAAACACGCATATTTACAGTGCTTCACCCACAAAGCTGCAGGTTTTCACTCTGAAGAAGGAGACTACAATACTGATCTCACACATCTTGGTTTGCGTCTTGCTGGAAAACAGCTCTCTAAAATATCTGTTATATATGTAGGAATATTAGCGTGACCTAATATATGTCCAGAAGAATACCCTAAAACACCTATATAGGTCGATCTGCAGCCGAGGGGAGTCTCCACAGTCTGACAAGCTTCAGTGATATGGAACAAAAGTGTAATGTGCAAGATCATAGCTGAACTTATTAAAACTGCATGCTTGGGTCAAATTAGATATTATTAAAATCTTATAAGATCCTCTAATGTATTAAGAGGGAGACAACATACAAACTGGTCAATTTTTTGTTTAACTGAGTGTGGAACGTTTCCTTTGCATACTTAAACTAATTCAATATTTGGAAGTATAATAGCACGCTCATGTTCATTTCTGGCTCGAAATTGGACAGAGAAATCTCCATGACTGGATTAAGTGTATCTCTTGCTTCGGTTTATCCAAAACCCACCGAGCCGTTGATTTCTATTTTCAAAAGTAATCTAGATTATTTACACTGCACAAAAATAAGGTAGTTTATAATATTTCTATTTGGCAAGCAGTCATCTTTAAGCAATTTTAGTTTCGATCATATGTTTATATATGGTGTTAAAAATGGTTTATTAATTAAATGAGCGAGGACTCATTTGGTATAGCTTTTGCTTTTGCTTCCTATAGAAGAGTTTCATGAGGAAGCTTCCTTTATTTTCTATACTGGAAGTGCTTTTAGAGGAAGTTGGTTGAAAGGAAGCTACATTCAACCATCTTCCTCTAAAAGCTCTTCTAACTCGAAGAATCACTTTTATAAAATTAGCCAAACGGATCCAAAAGTAGCTTTTGAGTCTAAAAAAATCCTTTTGACTTCTCAAAAGCAATGCCAAATGGCCCTGAGAGTGAGGGAACTCAATTATAGTTCATCGCTGAGTACAGATATCCAAAGCAGAGTCGCGTTGATTCTTTTTTTTTTTTTGGGTCTTTCTTTTGTATTTTGTCTAAAAGCCCAATTTCAAGGCTTCCACTCAACAATGTTTTTACAATCAATTTAATTGTTTAACTGTTATTTGTTTGAAATGGTTCTTTAGCCTTGAATAAGAATAGGAATTATCCTGTATCTCGAGTCCAATATCACGTTTTCTGTCTTTTCAGCTATCACTGAAGTATTTTTAACTGTTGAGTGATCAACTTCATTGTTTAGCAGGGCAGTATTGTTTATAGTGGGGATGGACCGATGAACATGCTCGGGAATATACAAGTAAAACAGTTTTTGTGCATTTCATATTATGCATTATCTTAGAAGCTTTCTATTTCTAATTCTGAATCCTTAAGTGTATGACAGGCGCAGAAAACTGCAGAGCTACTTCTTGATGTGAATGTGAACACTATAGTCAGTGGTACTACGACAGCATCAGTCGAGACAGCAAATGCGATTTCCCGAGTAAGATAATTCCAATATTATGGTAGAATAACGGCACTTTCTGCTGAATTTAAGTTCATGCCAATAGTTTATGTTTTAGGTTCAAGAAGCTGCTGATTGCTTGGGCGCTGATTGTGTACCACGCTATGTGGAAATGAACCAGACGCAGGGACTTGATGTTGAAAACATCCTTAACCAATTGAACAAGGCAAGAAACATTTCTCGCATGCCAAATTTTACAGTTTAATTGACAAATGAAACTGAAATGTGGACCTAAACGAAGTTGATTTAGAGCATGATTGTCTAAACTTAAAAAGAAATACTTTTATGCCTTTTTTTTACCTAACATAATTTTAGAAGTCACTTTTCTAGGAAGTATAAATTAAGTAAATTTTAAGCTTAGCTGTACATGCTGTTAACTTAATTCTCATGGTTAGTTTGTCGCGTGCATCGTTGTCCCTTTTGTTGGGTGACAACTGGGGAGGCCTCTGAGCGACCAAGCCTCCCTTTCTGGGCTGTGATGTGGGCCTGCCCAATTAAAAAAAAGGCCTGGCTCCAAAAGATAAAAAAAAGAAGGCCCAGCCTAGACGATGTCACAATATGTTTTGCTCAGCACGCGAAGAAAACTAGGCAATGTCTGGTAGGCCTCCTAAATGTGGGCCTTGGCGGTTCTACCTCGCCCACCTTACACTCTATGTTTAATCAATAAAGCACATTGATAGAAAAGCGAAAAGTTTGTACAAACTGTTCCATTTTCTTGCTATTTAGGCTCATATTTATCTATACCTTAATACTGTTTCTATCCTTGAACTTTACATTCTTAACTGTGTTCTTTTCTACATATGCAGGATGAAGTAACAGCAGAGTTATGGAATCAATCAGGAAAAGCCTGGAAATATTTGTTAGATGAACTAAATAAAGGTTCTGATTCAGAGAAAAAAATTGTTGCAGTTGGGAATCCTGCAGTTCACACTGCAATGCTGGGACACTGCTTAAAACTTTCAAAGGAATGGATTGGATCATTTCATCTTGATGCAGGCAGTGTCAACGTCGTTGATTTCCCGGATGGGCCCACCGGAGGAGGTATTATCCGGTGCATCAACTACACTGCCCATTTAGGGAGGTGGTCTATACCTATTACAAGATCAACAGTGGATGATGAGGAGTTCTGAGTGTAAATATGATCAACACTTTTTTTCCTGTATTTTAACAACTATTGAACTGGAAGTCTGGAAACAAGACTTGTCATATCGCATGTTTAAATGAAAAAATTAATCTTTTTTTATTTAAGAGTAGTGGTGAACAGAGACGGAGCTAGGATTATAGAGCCATGTGGTCAAATTTTACAATTTTTTGAAACTTTTATGCAAAATTTTGAAAAATATTGTGCAAAATTTTGAATTTAAAATTTAGTGTTGGGTTAGGTGACCCCGATGCCCCCACTACCTCCACTATAAATCCACCCATGGTGGTGAAGACATAAATTTGTATTTATTTCAACGTATTTTTTTTTAAACCAATGAGATGATGTTACACGCACCTAACATCACATATATAATTAAAGAAGTAGACATTTTATAGGAATGAAAATATACTAATTCTTCAGATGACTAGAAAATGACATTGGCCTGCGGTTAGCTGAACATCGAATTTAAAAAGTCACTATCTGTTATTAATGTATATTTTCTATCTATTGGCAAAAAAGAAGCCTAATAAAATGCAAAATAATTTAAATTCTTTTTAATGCCTGACAACTCCAAGAATCAACATCTGAGCTGCTAAGCACTAATATCAAATTCCTTTTGACTTAACAAACTCATTTACGGCTATATTAATTAGTTTGCATTATCTTAGTTAACCTTTTTAGCCCGGACTTTCAAAACTCTATTTTTCTCATATTTTTTCAATCATGCATTCTCACACCGAAATATTCTTCATGCAAATTCAATTTTTTTTTTTTTTTTTACTTTTTAATCACACGTTCTTCAAAAATTTACTGTTCAAAAACTCAATTCTTTTTTTTTTTGTAAAATCTATCAAACACGGGCTTAAAAAGGGATTGTTAGCCTGGATTTTTCGTTGCTCGTCGACCCTTACTATCAAATTGACTGATTGATGAAAAATGTCGAGCACCTCATTTAGAAACTTAACATCAACAAAGATAATTTTTTTATTTAAAAATTCTTCAACTCGTTCCTTTATACATGGGCTGGATTAATAATTTTCCATCAAAGGCTTAATACGTGCAAATATTTCATTTCAGGATCTATGAATGCTCCGATAGCACATTGAACTACTTCATTTAAAGTTTTAAGACAATTACGTCCATTAGTAGGTAAAAAGAAGGCCAGAAAGGAGATTTATTTTTGCTGAATTTGTCGAGATTTCGCATCTTTTTAATGGTTGCCCTCACGTTTAACTACGTCTGCACCTTTTAAATTTTTTTGCCTTATTTTAGACAACTAAATGATTGAAAAATATCAGAATATGTAGCATTTTCGACATATGTAATTGATTTAGTAGACTAAACATAATAATGTGGGACATAATATGTATTTCGCTTATAATCATAATTTAATTCAACATAAAAAACCTGTCCTTTATGTTCCTCAAACAACCTCTGATCGTCAATGTTTTTCTTTCCAATATGAAGTGACATCATTTATTTATTGCCATTATCAATTAAAATTAAAATACGATTCCTTTTCATCAAGCTCTTTTACTAAAGTACCACACCCATAATAATATTTCTACTTTATTATATAATAAAAATAGATTACAATGAGTAACACTATAGGATGAAAGAAAACCAATCAAAAAGCACAATCGATTCTCAAAATATTTATGTTGTCAACAAAGATCCTAATTATTCTTAGGCCCTGTTTGATTGCACTTCAATTCCATGGAAGATGGAAATTAAATTTCATTTTCTACATTTTTACATGTTTGATTGCCCAAATTTTCCATGGAATTGGTTTTTTATCCTTCACTTTTGGTAGGAAAAGTTTTTCTAGGCAACTTTTTTTTTAAAAATTTTTTTGGCAATGGAAACAAATTCTATCCCAATTGTAACGAATTATATCCCTTTAATGGACAATTTTTATGGAAAACAAAGCCAAACGAATATCAAAAGATCCAAAATTCAAGTGGAAAATTATACAAATCAAACAAAATTAATTGACAATTCTCAGTAAAACAAGTTCTCGACAATTCAATTCCCTGAAATTCATTTTTTTT